AGAGATATTCTTTCGAACTAAGCTTTCTCGCGCAATTGGTCAACCAGATATACTTAGAAATACATCCACCTGCTCACTGCGTGCAATCTCCGTATCTCTCTGTGGACGAAGATGAAGTGCGCCACTGTCTTCTGGAAGTTTCGTCAACTACTCCGGTACATGACCAACTCTCTATCTTAGCTCTCCGCCCGGTATGGAGGGTAGAAACATGGTGCTCGTGGATCGTTCACCTTTAAAGTCTCTGCCTAGAAAATGGTCACTACCCTAGCATCTCCCGCCGCGCCAAAATGATGGTCATTCCTAAACCACACAAGGATGATCTCACTAATTTTGCCAATTGGCGACCGATTTCGCTTCATTCAGTTCTCGAAAAAGGGCTGCAACGTCTCCTTGTGAGACGCTTTGCCTTCTGAGCCTTTTCAAATCGAATTATATCCCCGATGCATCTCGGAGCGCTACCTGGAAGTGTTATGCTCAGCTATGTAGTATGGTAGATCTAGTAGCTGGTGCATAGGTAGTTATTATGGCAGCATGGCACTATGGCGCATGGAGGGGATCCAGTCTCTACATAAAGACATTACAAGTAGTAATGTGTGCAGTATGAGAGATGGGTTGTTGATATAGGATAAATGGCATGACTGCTCAGTTGGTTGCACACTTTGGTGAGCTGCATACTGGTAACGTGATCGGTCTACAAGTGAACAAGCTAGGGGATAAGAGACGGTTTCTCCCAATCTGTAACATAACAATTATCATAGTCACTTCACTTCTGCAAATTAATGAAGACAACTCTCCATATACTATCTTAGCTATTCCAGCGCAAGTGTACATTCCCAAATCATATACCAATCATAATAGGAAGGTCTACCATGGACCTCGTAGAATTTGTGGTTCACGATGTCGAAAAATAGTGGGAGATAAAGTAGGTGTGCACCCTCGCCACCCTCGATATCCAAAGTGCTTTTGGTAGTATTCAGCCTGGTCGTCTCCGCGTTCTTCTTCACAAACAGGGATGGCCTTTACCATACGTGAATTGGACTGCTTTCTTTGCTTCTTGCAGGAAGGCTCGCCTCAGCATGTATGATTTTGTCGGTGAATTCTTGAATATTCCGCACGGCTTACTTCAAGGATCCCCTGCTTTACCTATACTGTTTCTCCTCTTTCTCGAGCCTTCATTCAGACTCCGGTTTACTACATTTAGATACGTAGACGATGTAGCAATCCTTTCGGTCGCAAAAACTCTTGCCGATACTTCTCATCTGACCACCAACAGAGTCGGAAGCATCACCCGTTGGTGCGAGCAGAATGGACTCTCTCTGGCAGAAAATAAGATCGAAATCCTTCATATTCATAGATCCCATCAATCTTCACCTCTGGTTATCACCAATGGCGTCCTAAGAACTACCAATTCTACTCTGAGGTGGCTAGGTGTCTTTCTCGACACCAAGCTCTCTTTCAAACAACATGTTCAAGAATGGAGTGCTAAAACGCAACGGATTAACGCCCATGTATGACAGCTTGGAAATGCCAACCGTAGGGTACCAACAAGTTTTCTGCGCACTGTAGCCCTAGCTGCGGCGCTACCGGTCCTCTTGTATGGTGCTGAGGTCTGGTGGTGCGGTCAAACTTATCTACGTCGAGGACGTTCAACTTCAACCCGATCTCAACACCTAGTAGACATGATCTCTCGAGCTCTAGTCAACCTGGCCAAAGCAATCCTACCAGTATACAGAACTACTCCTACTGCTGCACTTCCGAGAGAGGTGTGGCTCAAGCCAGCTCATATTCTACTTGAGGAGATACGCCTCCGCTCCGCTGTTAGGCTAGCTGCCGCGGACGTCTTTCATCCTTCGGTCAGAAGATTAAAAGACCCTCGCGTACAATCTCGCCTCGCCGAAAAATTGAAGCTCATTTCGCTCTTCCCTCGCCCTCGGCTCTTACCTCCCTCCTTTAAAGCTCCGCTTAATCGTACTCGAGCAGACTTTTCCGTCCTAGAATTTTCCGAGCGCATCAGTGCACTTCCACCATGGGATATCCTTGTCTTCTCGGACGGCTCAAATCAAAGCCATGGGTCTCCATAAAGACATCACTGTAGCTCAAGTGAGGGTACCCCTCGGCCCCGATTTCGAGGTCTATGACTCGGAAATTATCGGCGCCCTAGCAGGGCTCAAGGTCGTTGTAGCTGCCCCTTCGATTCATCTCGCAACTAACATCCACGTCATCCTAGACAATCCAGAGGCAATACAACGCCTCCTCAATTATTCGCCATCGAAGTCCTCGCAAATGGAAATTTTAGAATTTCGGCATCTCGCTGGCCTACGAGGAGAATTCTGCCTATCGCATGTCCTGGCAAAGTTCAAGTAATATGGTCTCTCGGTCATATAGGCGTTCCGGTTAATGAGCTGGCCGACAAGCTGGCCGGAGAGGCGGCTCGCCAACCAGCTCCCTCTTCCCATCCCTTACTGGAGTCCGCGCAAAGATACAAAGGCAAAGATGGGACTTTAACACAGCTTGTTGGCAATCTCATGCTTCCTCTACCTATTGTGAGTTAGGGATGCCATTTTCCAAGAAGCCTCTTGAGGAACTACGACTCCCTCGCCGGTATCTCGGGTATTTAATCCAATGCCGCACTGAACATGGTGACTTTCGTGCTTATCACGAAAGGTTTTATCATCTTGACACCCTTCTGACCTGTTCCTGCGGGGCTAAAAAGCCAATCACTCATTTAGTTTTTACCCCATTGTGCGAGAGAGACGGGCTTCGGCCGGCCATCGACGAAGTATGGGCTCACTCTATTTTCTTCTAAGCACCTCCCAAGGAGCTAAGCGTTTCGCCACCACATTGGAGAAAGTTAGGTCCTTATCAGAAATCAACCCACTCTGTAACATATGAGCTCTTGTGAGGAATCCGCTGCATAGCGCTCGTAGTTTCTAACTGCGTTTTCATGGTCTATGCCACTACACATCACATCTTGTATTACATGGCAGTTATAATTTCGCCTCAGGTATGGGGCTTTAGTGGTAACTAGTGCCCGGCAGACATAAAAGTAAATAAATGTTAAAATGATATAACAATTGTTATACTAATAAAGACTTAAAATTACAGTACACATTTCCAGTCATATATACACCATTCATATTCCACAAGTGATCCAGCTCTGTAGAGCCAACACTAATGTCTTCTACTCATGTCCTTTACTCGTGTCCTAAACGGAGCGAGTGCCGACAAAGACGAATTCTTCACCTTCCAGTGGTGCCGGTGTAATCGCTCAGTATGCTCTGCATATCTGGGATAGCCAAGAAGAATCGCATCCGAATCGAAGTCGAAAGCAACCTCATACACATCTCCATTTGACAACTTCTCGATAATACCTCTCTCATCATTATCATCTGAGTCCTCAACGACCAATAAAGAAGTTGCTCCAAATGCATACAGGAGCTTGCCTCATTCATCACCGGCCATCACTCACTACAAATTTACGACGCTATTCATACCCGCAAGGAGGAAATCAAGTCGACAAATACAAAGTTGGGGTCTTAGTTTATGGGGGACTGTTACTATAATGGGGTTATACATCTCGATGAAGGACAGGCAGCTGAGATGTGGAGTGAGAGGGGAAAGAGGCCTCTTAAGACCGTGTTGGACTGACATTTTCGAAGAGTTTTCAATTTTGGATTTTTTGTGGGCGCCAAGACCTAGATATTGGCTAATTAGCCACGAGGACTTCTTTGTCGATGAGTCAACGGCACTCCCCAGCGCCCTGGACGGCACAAAAGAAGTTGGGCTAAGCTGCCGTATAGCAATCACGCTCTGTCAAGACTTTTCTGACATTTCAGCAAGACCTTCGGGAAGGAGGCTAGAAAGGTAGAGGATGAATTTCCCGAAGTACCCACAAGTCTGTAGCGCCCAGCTGGCCGGCCTCTTCGAACGCTGCAGAAGGAACAATATGTCTTCGGATTTAGTCCTAATGTCGGTAATAGCAGAGCTCCGCACCTGGTGGTTTTTGCGATTTTTCCCGGCTGCCATACACCCGCAATAGGCCATGGTTTCGTTGGCTGGAGAGGGGAGATAATGAAGGGCAAAGGGCTCCTCTTAGTGTATGATTAAATGAGGACTTGTGAGGGGTGTTACTGTTTGGGGGGGAACTCTAGGGGAGGCATAGGAGGGGATATACTACTGGTATAGGTATCCTTGGCCTGTGGGCAGAGAGGACCTGCATGTCCTACATAGTCATGGACTCAGACAGGACAATAAAATGAATTAAAAGGAACGAGTAATGTGTCTTCCCGCCTCCTATTTAATATCCGATGCCACCATCACGTGACCTGGGTCTTCCTCAATACAACATGTCATGCAGACTTCCTGCCCAACCGGTGCCCTCTAACATTCAGGTAAATATGTGACCCATACGCTATTTACCTGTAATAATATTGTATTTGTTAGGTCTCAATAATAAATACATTCCTGTTCATATCATCCTCATGCAACTATTTATGATGTCACTACACCAACCACGTCTCGTGTAGATCTCTATATCATCTAATACAGCTTTTCTGATTGGCTGAGTAATTGTACATCATAACAGTAGTGTCATTTACGCTAGGTACGTTACTATGTGTTCCATTTCCAATTGTGTTACATTGCTACAGAGATGAGCACTTGCTCTAATTTATACTAGACAATGGGAGAGAAGTTCCAATAGAGCTAGGTCACTTAATAACTCAACAGGAGTTGGTCTCAACAAGCTCTGATTCTGCTTTGCTAAAAATGTTCGAATAGTCAACCCGTAAACCCTTCATTTGATCAATCGCTAGAAGCACAAGGTCCAATAAAAAACGCCCCTCAAACTTATTCCATCCGACCCATGATGACGATAAATGAGCATCGCTCAATTGTTTAAATACCTTCTAAACTCTCTCAAACAAGAGCTTTCGTGCTAAGTGTCGCAGTCATCATCTAATCTGCGATTGATTTCCAACGAGATAAGTCATGTTTTAGCTTTATCTTTTTTCCTTTATGCTGCCACAAAAAGATGGATCCTTGATACTACCCCCTGCATCCCCAAGTCCAGCAACCGGGCGATTGTAGGACCAGCCAGCAAACTGTTGCTGCATAGTCTGTGAAAGTAATGGGCCCTCCACATACGAGTCAGCAGGAGCCTCTCGTGTAAATTCATCATCAAAATTTTTGGTATCTAAGGCATCAATCTGCTGCAATTAGCTTTGCCTGTAGTTTAAAATTTGGAATACTCACAACGTTAGGTTTGAATGTAGGCTCATATTTTCTTTGAAGGAGTTTGCGCCAGTCGATACTGTGAAAAAACGGATGAGCTTTTATTTCGGATGCGCCATTTGCTCCTAATCTTTGGTCGGGCTTGCGGTTAAGCAGTTTGGTGAGAAGATCTTTCGCCGATGGCGGGACGATATCCTGCCCTGGGAAATGTAGGGGAACAGTAAGGATCTTGCGGTACATCTCATGAGTATTTTCATCATAAAATGGTGGCAATCCTGTCAACATTTCAAAAAGTAGAACACCTAGTGTCCACCAGTCAACAGTCTTCGTGTAGCCCTGTCCTAGAAGAAGTTCTGGAGCTAGATATTCGGGAGTGCCGCAGAAAGTGTTCGTGCGATCCTCATCCTTCATTTCCATTTTGCACAGGCCAAAATCACAGAGAGCGATATGGCCTGAATAGTCAAGCAAGATATTCTCTGGCTTTAAGTCACGATAGATAACATTGAAACCGTGCAGGCACTCCAATGCACACAATAACTCTGCTGTGTAGAATCTGGACCGGTTGATGTCAAACCGCTGCTCCTTTTGTAGATGATGAAAGAGCTCTCCGCCATTAACAAATGCTAAGACAAGATATAATTTCTCGGGTGACTGGAAGGTGAATTTGAGAGGAACGATAAAGGGATTATTGATTTGGGATAGAACGGATCGCTCAGCAAGGGTATGAGCAACTTCCGATCGTGAGATGATATGGGCTTTCCTGATTGTTTTTAATGCGTAGATTCTTTGAGTGTCTTTCTTTTTTACTTGCATAACTTTTCCAAAACTACCTTTTCCAACAACCTTTAAAAGTTCAAAATCCTCAATTTTTAGCGACTGCGTCTTTGTTTCTCTATATTCGACGCCGATACGAATCTTTCCAGAACCGTACGAAATGTCCAGCCACTCTACACCAGATTGGCCAAGAGCTCTCTCACTCTTGGCCCATTCTAATGCAGCTTTCTCTCTATCTTTTTTGCTCAATTTAGGGTCCTCAACGTATTTATTACTTTCTCTGAATCGAGGGTTAATACGCGCAACTCCTAAGAATATGTCTTGAGCTCGGCCGCTACCTGCAGGTGCAGTTGGATTTCGTAGGTATAGTGTTACAGCAAGCTCTGTGACCCTAGAGACGTCGAACTTGAATGAGGTATTCTCACCTGCCCAGAGTGGGTTTTCTGGGGTTCCGGAAACTGCGTTGACAAATACTTGTAATTTGTCAAAGTCCAGCAGGGCGTAGGGAAGAAATTTAGAAGAAATTCGACCATGATTTGTTGGAACTCCACCGAATCCGCCAGCAGATGCGGTCTGTGGTCGCATAGTATTCGAAAAAAACCCCGAAGAAGAGCTTTGTTGCGTAGATCCTGACCGAATAGAACCTGCAACACCAAAGCCATTTCCTTGTGAAACGGATCCCGAATGGCCAGAATTGAATATGTGTTTGTGTTGTTCCGGTAGGGCGAACCCTGAACCTTCATAAAGAGTTACAATGAGGATACCTGGCGCTGGATCTGCGATAGTCTGTACTGGTATAGAATCACGGGCGACTGATCTAGATAAGCATATCGTCTGATGATGTATCTACTGTCATACCTATTCCATTATCGATTGGCGCGATGGGGCCCGCAGAGATGTTCAATTTTTCCTCTTTGGTAGAATCTGCTACAAGAGTGGTGGAGGAAGGAGTGCGAGAGAAAGTACTGGACAGAGGGCCCAAATGAGTCTCTTTGAATTCTAACAGTTGACACATTAGCAAAGACGCACCGAAAATATCTTGATTCAGTAGGATTGAGATTTTTGACAAACTTTTAGTTAATTTCCAAGACATAGCGATATTTTTGACCTTTGAATTAGGAGAGGTATTAGAAATGGTATTGGGGATGATGAGCTCAGTTAAAGCGAAGTTTGAGGTGCCCCGCCCTGACCTCTACCTGACTGTGCTGATATCCGGGGCGTCAAGCCGCAACAGTCGAAAGTTTAGGACTTAATGATGAATAATTTCGGGTATTTTGGAGAATAAATTTCAATCAGGGGAAGAATTTGTTTTCAGGTGTTAGAACGAAAGTACGTCTATGGACGCTTCGTAAGAGGGTCCGAAAGAAGGACGCGGACGAGAGGGGAGTGTAATAATTGTCAGAGTCACATGACTAACTGATGGAGGTCAGTGACCAAGCGAAGACAAATAGCTAGAAATTGCAGTACATCGCGGCACTGAGAGGGATGATAGATAGCTAGGACGTCTTGGGTTGAATCGAGTGCGCGTAATGGTTTAGGAACTTACAATGCGCTCCATTACGACTGTATAACTCTAAATGTTAGAAAGGGCCTAGTTGCTGCGTGGCACGGCCAGTGAAATCAAATAATTATTCTAGATATAGTTGTGGAAACGCTCGACACTTTTCCTGGCAGGTGACTAGAGGTGACAGCAATTTCATACCTCTAAAGAGTTTCTAGGGAAGCAGTAACTAATACGCCGCCATATAGACTGTAAGTGAACTTTCGGAAATACTGACCCAACCCAGAGGAAGCTAAAAAGAGTCGGCACGTCGGTTTTAACAAGAGCCCCTTGAGCTAGATCATCGGGCCCGGAAATAGCGAATTTGACCTGGCATTGGCCCGAATGGCCATGCGGTATGCTATCCAGGTCATTCCTTTATTTGGACCCCTGGTGCCTGTTGATCATCAGCATTCCGAATGGGAGATCGCTGGCCCGAGTCGATCAAAACCTGGCTATGCTTCGCGCAGCTGCTTGTGGTAATCAGATGATTCACGCTCCTCACAGTGGTCAAGAGGTTTTGATCCTTTCTCTGAGGGGCGTACCGGACTGAGGCTTTGTTTTGTTAATGTGCTAGGCATTAGCACCGTCTGCACTCCCACAGGTGCTTCAGCACAAGTGGGGCTGGGTTAGATCAGGTTAACTACCATTTAAGTACATAACCTCGTCCCACCTGAATGACCGGACCAGCTGATACTTCATCTACATGTTGTACATGTCAAGCCCAACCGTCCAGAACCGCCGGTTTTTACACGCCGATTCGCAATTTCCTCCTCAGCCTAGTCCACCACGCGCCCGAGCTCCCGACAACACGGTTGAGGTGATAGTTGGTTCGGCTTAAATGTTCTACTCTAGTCTATGTCTATTTACCATATTGGAGTCCTATCTGAGCCAGGCCGCACCTAATATAGTACTACTATCCTCTTTTGTTACTTGAAAGATAATTAACATATTGCCCGTGGTGAATAGCCATTCAGCTCATTTTTTACCCATGGAATTCAGTCTCTCCTTCTACAGGAATCCCTACCCAAAAAGAAGCAAAAAAATGGAACAATTAAAACTGCGTACGCTGTTAATTTTCAAAAAACCTATATTTCCAACCACGCGAGGCCTAGGCACCGAAGCCACAAAAGATATGTGTATCTATCTATATCTTCTTTCTTTGTAACATAAGACGCCAACTTTATCCAATCCACGACCACCACCACTGTTTCGGTGGCTGAGTATGCTGCGGAAATGTTCCGAATCACGAGGTCTACAACGAGTAGAATGGAGGCTAGGAAGATAGAGGATACTCCATACAAACATACAAGTCTGGTAGGTCAGGCTTTCCAGCATCTCGGAAAGCATTACAAGACCCAGATGAGTGTTCGGATATACTCCTCATATAGGTAAGAGGAGAGCTCTCCACCATAGTGGGTTTTGCATATTCTCGGAGCCGCGATGCATCCATAAATTGACTTGATCTCGATGCATGTAGAGGAGAGAAATCAAAGGGCAAAATTTACTCTGATGTACATTCGAAGGAAACCCTATCAGGGTAATTATCTGTGGACAGAGACTTTAAACGAGGTAGTCTACAATTCCAAATACAAAATATTTTGGACAGCATGTAGAAAGGACATAAACATCCTGGTGTGGCAGTTGACTCCACTGGTACACGAAATAAATGATATCCGGAAGACCCACACATTCTCTAAGCCATGTAGCCTTTTACATTCTGAGACCCCGTAACTATGGATCATTTATGATATATTTGCTGCTGTTACAGGTATGGACGCGTCAGGGTATCAATGATGGCGAAAGCCTCTGTCCCTGTATCGATATGATCAGTCAGAAAGGGCCGAGACGGCTTCAACATGGCAAATCTAGTGGGGATTCAGAAGTCAAAGGTGATAACCCAGAAGCACGGGCCCTCAAACGTCGGATACTTTTCTGGGGTCACTGCAGTGTGAGCCCCTGCCGATCGAGCTCCAATTTCACTATTACAGTCTTACAAAGTCCAGGACGCCTGTCCTGAGAAAGCTGCCTCCATGGTCACTTTTAGCGTGAATACATAGATTAAATTAGATTTATATTATAGTCCTAACTGATTCAATGACTGTAGAGAACTCCTAGAATTTAAATGTAAGATACTGGCTGCATTTTTCCTTTCCAATTTTACAGTTTTTCAATAATCTCATGGACAGTGAGGGTAGCGTGAAAACATACTTTCTATCGCATCTTGCAAGCCTGTCAGAATTTATACATGCGGTTCTAGAACTTTCAATGTATCCATGTGCAACGAAGTATCCCTTTCGTGTCTCAGTGGGTAACACCATTGAGAATTGACGTTATGTCTCTGGAATTTTCACCAAAGCTGCAGGCAATCACAAGATTTACCTGCCTCGCTAATCTCAATAGCGGCAGTGAGCTTGCATCTTCTTCTTGTCACTCTAGTAATGTGCATGGCGAGGATCGGTGACATGAGGTCCGAAGACCTAGTTGTGCTGTCGACTCTGGCCCTGGAATCTTAAAAATCGGGTAAAAGTTGTCTATCGAAGACATGGGACCCCAGCAGGGCGTAGCCTAAATCAAGACCAAGTGGAACTATAGCGTCCGTTCACACCCACTTGCTTAGGCTTATTAACGATCGAGCTCTTCGATTTGGAGAACGTGTCAAACAAGCATGCGGAAGACCCTTGACTATCCCTGCGCATCTGATTGGTTCTTTTAGGACCACACGAATAATTCATTTTCTTTTTGGAAAATCACTCCGCGGGCCAGGCTTTTTTTTATTTTTTTTATCATTTAATGTGCGTGGGCCAGGCTGTACGACTGTCAGCTTCAGGCCTAGTTAGTGATGTTTGTAAGGAACTTTAGAATTACCGTGTATGTGTTATTTATTGTACTAATTGAGTCATTGACTGTTTTGCATTTTGGGATCCTCTCTGACCCAGGCCACACCTTGTAAAGTGTTCCTTGCCTCTCATGTTTCTTGAAAGATCATTGATATATTGCCCTTGATGAATAGCCGTCAAGATCAGTTTCAACCCGTGGAATCCGGCCATCCTTTCCACGTAACCTTCTACCCAAAAAAAAAAAAAAAATAAAAAATAAAAGGTAGAAATGGAAACTGCGTGCGCGGGAAAAAGTCTCAAAAAACCTGCAGTCCCAGCCAGGCTAGGCCTAGACACCGGGACCACATGAGGTGCGCATATTCATCTATACCTCCCTTCTTTATAACATTCTAGGTCAACATTATCCAATCCACCATCTCTGTATCGGGTGCTGGGCACGCTCCAGAAACTCATGGGATGGCTTTTCCTCCATGATCAAGGTTTGGTGACTAAAAGGGCTTCGACCCTGACATCTGATCTGATCGTGGTTAGCTTCATGATAATGGTGATAGGAGGATGTGCTAAGGGATGAAGACGACACAAACCGCGAAAGCGATTGGGAATCCTCGTCGAAGTGAGGACTTTGTTACTCAATCTCGGCTCTGCAGACTCTGCAGTGAGAGCTGGAGGTTCGTAGGGAACACCACTAACGGGTGTCGAGAATAGTCCCCCTACATTGCCTAGTTATTACAATGAAAGGGAATTCCAAAACATCCAACTATGCCTCCGACAATCTTTCTAATCGCAAATTTCTGCTGGTGCGTTCCCTCAGGTCCAAAATTTAGACTCATAAAGTTGTCTACAAAAGATGACAAATTTCATCTTTTTTTCAAAGTCGTAATTTTAAGTGTATTCTGGCAATGATCCGTATCTCATTAGAACATCTAACATAAGACTACTTCTTCGGTGTTCGACGAAACTGCTCTTCGCTCCGCTCCGATATTTACTTTTTTTCAATTCATTTACATCCTCTATAAGTCTAAGACTATTGTAGGATGTGCCAATGTTTACTTTGTCAAGGTAGCAAACACTGTTTACCATCCACCCTAAAAGGCTTTTCTTGTTGCTTCTTCACTTCCGTCTGTCCTGTAAATCTGGCCGCACTGTTAAAGGTGATTCATCAAACTAGCTTCACTTCAAGACGCGACATAGGCTGTGAGATCTGCCGCATGCTTGCCATCTATTGGTCTTGGCATTTCTCTAGGCCTTTTCCGTTGGAGTTGTTGTCTTGTAAGGGCACACTAATTTCTCTTCCCATGGTATCAGGCTAATTACTTGGTACGGGATAATTTGAGCTAGTCTTCGGTAACGGGTAATAGGGATTCACATTTTTCCTGAAAGCTGCTTGACGAGCTTTTTTGGTATCAGCTTGGAACTGCATATGCAGCTAGCTAGCTATGACAAAGTATCAGAGAAAATGGACAGAAAAGATGACTCAACATACAAGAGGAGCACTCATATCTCGGAGTTTGCCGAGCTCGGGCCTAGCCGGGGATACTGAAACAATCATAATTCCAATATTGGGGTAGGCCGTTTTGAAGAAAATTTCCTACATATTCTCTAGATGAGAGCGGCGGGTGTGATTAGATGGTTTGTCTGACTGAGGCAGAGTCATCTGCTCCGTGTCAACATGTTTCCCGTACAAGAAGCTTAAAGCTGTGGTCTAGCCGTTTT